GGCACGACGCTTCGCCCTTTAAAAAGGGTTCGGTCGCGTTTGGCGATCTCGTGTTCGTCTCGATCGTCCTGATTATCCCTTCCTCACTCGCAATTTTCTCTCTCCTCCAGTGGACATTCCTCCAGAGATCGACTCAAGCCTACTGTCCCTCCCACCAACCACCAAACAACCAAAACCACCATCGATCGCATCGCATCCACCCGGATCATCCGGCTCTCACAATTAAATCACACCACCAAACCCTCAACCCCCAAAATGACAAATTCAAACGGCACAACTTTCATCCAACCACCAGAATGCTACAACGCACGCGACTCAATGCCCACCCTCCCAAGCAACCTCAACTACTACAACCAAGTCCCACTATACCAAGAACGAAACCCGAGCACGAATATGCGAGAGGTTCTACAATCGTGCTGTTCGACTCGTGTGTGGATTTTCGAGGATCCTGATCCTTGTACGGCTGTCTGTCCTTCTTTTTCGTCTGCTGAAACGCAGAGGGTTATGTATTGTCTTAATGCGCATCAGATTTTGCATGGGAGCCGGACCGAGAAATCTGGTGCTGGACGTGTTGGACTGAGTAGGATTTCTTGGGGGGCTTTTGTTGTTGGGGGTTTGCTTTTGGCTGGGGTTTTTGTATAAATTAAGGGATTTGTTGTTTTGGAGTTTTGTTTTTACTTTGAGATACCCTTTGCATTGTTTTGGAGCTGGTTATATTTGACTGGGCGATATGTATTATTTAATTCAATTGCTGTGTGTGCAGCGCTGATGTCGGGCATTATGATCTGGGCGCATGCTTAATACTTACATTCCTTAAATGCTTATCTTGCACCCTGCATTACTAGTCTCCGCTTGATCTGCGATGCCTTGAGCGGGATGTTCTGGGGACGGAACGAAGTACATGTAAATTGCGTGCAAGAAAGACGTAAATTGCCGATTTTGTTAGCTATTGACCTTGGTTAGTTGTGCACCATCCAACGTTTCCAATTTGCTCTTCGTTTAGCAAGGATTAACCTGAGCTGATTTTTATGTTTGTATCAGTGCTGGCAAGATACCTATAATCCCCTTCTTATTTTGACTATACTTTGGATCAAGCATTGGCTACTCTGTACACTCTGCACAATTTCGGAAAGTAAACCCGAGTGTGGAGTATGCCAATATCACTATCCCGCGGGGTAAGGGACTTGGAGAATACATTTAGCCTATAAAAATGCCCTTCAATATACCCGCCACTCCATACATTCGACACGGAGCAGCTCCGACCCCACGCATCCCACCTGTCATTATTCATACTGTAACACTGAACCCCTCTGACCCCCATAGAGAATTGAAACCCTTCAATCCCTCCATCCTCTACACAAAAAAACCTCCAAAACCAATCCATCTACCTCCGAAATGGACTCCGTCAAAGGCAAAGTCTACGCCGTAACCGGGCTGGGCGGCATCGGCCTAGCAGTCGCACGCCAACTACACGCGCAAGGCGCACACCTCTCACTAGCAGACCTTAGCCCAAAAGTGCTAGAAACAGCCCTCCAAATCCTCGAAGCCAAGCCTAGCACTGCAAAAATCACAACAACAGCCCTGGATATCAGCAACGCAGCCGCAGTAAAAGACTGGATCGCATCGACAGTCACACATTTCGGCCGACTAGACGGCGCGGCCAATATGGCTGGGACGATAGGCAAAGCGCATGGCACGGGCAAATTCATCGACCAGGATGATGATGAGTGGGATATGTTGATGCGGGTAAATGTCACCGGGTTGATGTATTGTCTGCGGGCGGAATTGCGGGCGATTATGGAGTCTGCGCCTGGTGGGAAGGGGAGTATTGTTAATGCTAGTAGTATTCAGGGGTTGAGGGGATTTGCGTTGCATGCTGCTTATTCGACTACTAAGCATGGGGTTGTTGGGTTGACGAGGTCTGTTGCTAAGGAAGTTGGGCCTGATATTCGGGTTAATGCTGTGGCGCCGTGAGTTTTTCTTTTCTTTTTCTCTCCTTTATTTGTTTACTTGGTGTGTTGTTGGGGTGTTTGGTTTGGTGGATGTGACTGATCGATTTTCTTTAGTGGCTCTATTCAGACGCCCTTGCTTGATATGGCCAAGGAGATTCAGGGTGGCATTACTCCTCCGCCGACTGCGATTCCGCGCATCGGGACTGCTGATGAGGTTGCGCAGACGGTTGTTTTCTTGCTCAGTGATGCGGCTTCTTACACCACTGGCCAGGTTGTGAGTGTGGATGGCGGATGGGATGTATGAATAGGAGAGAGGGACGTGTATGCATTGCTGCAATGGAGAGTGAAACGGAATTTGCAGAGTTGAAATCACACTCATGAGGTGCTATGCATTGATATAAAGAAAGAACATGCTCGCTAAATAACATGACATGATACTCACAGGCCCCAACGCCGTCGCTATGATCTATCAGTGTAATTGCTCAAAACATGAAAGACGTCTCTATCCGGTGCAGAGAGGATCCACCACTATAGCCACATATACAGCCACAAAGCTAGAACGAACATATGAGCAAAGGACATACAGTCCAAACGATGCACTACTCACCCAGTACCACCGGGAGATAATCCCAATTGGTAACCCCATGAATAGAGCCCGCACTAGTAGCCGTAGCATCCTGGCCTTCGACAGGAACCGGCCAACCATCTTCATAGTCCAAGTAATTCCAACCAAGACGAGCTTCCTAAAAGGAAAGTTAGTCATATCCGGCCAAACCAGGAACCAAAGAATAAAACTCACCCCATCCTTGAACCCAATAGTGGTATTCAAATAATGATAGTAAAGAATATCCCGCGTAGACTCATTACTCGCAGGAAGCACCCCCAACCCACCAGGAGCATAAACAACCCCATGATTCGACCCATAAACAACCTCACCACCCCCTTCTCGCAGAAGCTTCCCATCGCGATCTGCAAACGGACCCCGGACATTCTTCGATCTCCCAACCCGAATACTATACTCATCCCCGCGATCCGGAAACACACCATCAAAATTACAACACTTCCCATGACTAAACCAAGCATAGTACCAGCCGTCCCGGTAACTCATCCAAGACCCCTCCTCAGGCTTGTGCTTCTTCCGCGGGATAAACGTCAACTGCACCGCATCCGGCTTCCCAGCATCCTTAACAGAAAGCAGATCATCAGATAACGGCACTTGCCAGATATCATGCCAGAAACTGCCGTAGTTGAGGTATGCCTGGCCGGAAACCTGATCAACAATGAAAGATGCATCAATTGCATTCGTGATCGTGTACGGATACACATCCGAACCTGGTCCTTTTTCCGTGTTGATTAAAACGCCGTGATCAGTCCACGCACTGCCGTCGAGGGTAGTCGTGGTTGCGATACCGATGGCGCTGTTCCGCGAACCCCTCGAGCTGAGAGTGTAATAGCAGTAGAACTTCCCGTTGCGTTCGATTGTTGTTGGTGCCCAGGGGCGGGAGCGGTTGCCTTTGTGGATTATGCTGTCGCCATCTAGAACTGTGCCGATCTTTTCCCAGGGCCCGGACATGTTTCCGGATTTGAAGATTGGGATGTTGATGCCGCCTTTGAAGAGGTAGTAGTGCTCATCGTGGAGGATAATGTTTGGGTCGTGGACTTGGAGGTTGCCTTCATTTGGGAGGGGCAGTTTGTCTGTTGTGTCGTATATTTGTGATAGCTGGCCCAGTTGATGGGATGCTGGGGCGGCCCATGCTAGTGGGGCTGCGATCGCGAGTAATAGTGATAATAAGAGGGGGAGGTGATGCATGATGGCAGATTTTATGTACAATGGAGTGTTGATTCCGGGCGCGATGCAATGTGTTGTTTGGAGGTCAATTGACCTTGGCCGGGGAGTTGGTGGTAGTTATCGGGTTGACTTGCACATGCCTGTGCTACTTTTTAGATAGTTTGCTGCGGAGAATAGGGGATGAGAGTCGGAAGAATAGCGGGAGAATGGAGAATAACAGAACCTGAAGTGAGGGATTAGCACATGGTTTATATGCAGCCTGCAAGGAAAAATGAGAATAAAGAATGAAAATGAAAGAAAAACACCGCCCCCGATGCGCAGGGTCAGAATCTAAAATCGAAGCCAAGTGTTTTAGGGGCTCCAGGCTGCTATATTTGTTGGCGCCATAGTACGGAGAGGTACTTGATTACACGCCTATTACCTGCCTACGTCAATGTATTCTCAGGTACCATGACCCACCCGGGGTCTAGCACAGCCTGTCGCAAAGACACGGTCCACCGTCCGCGGTCGCTGATTGGCGACGTAAACGCTGGTGAACTGTTTATCTTTGCTCTTTTAACTGACACTTTCATATGCGGGGAGGCGGGGAGGCAAAGTCCAACGCATGTTACCACAATAGCCGACAGAAACAAGTCACCTTAAGCGATCAAAACCTCCTCGGTTCAAAAGAAGTATTGAAGTCGCCCCCATACGGCCCCCAGCGTCGCCCCCCGATTGAGAGTCAGGCTTCTCATGCTAAAAGTGCAAGGTCGCTAAAAATACTCCGTACCGCAAGAGCTACTGTACTGTAGAGAAAATAGCCCCAACAAAGGCCCAAGGATTGCCCCCGATAGGATCTCCACGATGACAGTGCTAGGTCGCTAAAAATACTGCAAGAGCTAGAGGAAATAGCCCCAACAAGGCTCCCCGTTGCGATGCAGGTAAATAAGGCACCCTGATAAGCCTCGCTTCCCGTTTTTGCCGCTTTGTTCCCGCTGTACCTCGGGGCCGGACCCTTACATTGATCTCTCCAATTATGATCTCAGGGTGGACCTGACTGGGTCTGTCGACGTATAAGATTAGGAATTGCAATCACGACACCTGGGCACCCGCGGCAGATATTTGGGATGACGCAACTGACCATTGCCAAGTTATTGATTGACAGGGGTTACGCTGCGTTTTGAATATGGGCTTGGAAATATAACCATAGCATCGCTGATATAGAATGACTTTACTATACATTGTTTTTGCAGAGTCCCCTAGCCTGTTATTATACTCAATCAACAGGGGAACGTCATGCCTGTTAAATCCTCCCAGTCAAACACATCTAAGAAAGGATCGAAATCACCGGGCGGCTGAGTGGAATACGAGTCAGTGTCGAATATGCTATGATTAAAGAGAACCTGCAGCTTACCGTCACACCCAGATGGGGCGGTGGGAGCATCCCTTCAAAGTCTGCCGGCATGACAGGTACCATGCCTGGGGTCGCTGTGAACGCAGCCACCTGCGATCGGGTCAGTTGAAGTCGGGCTGATATAGCAATGCTGACATACCTGATTGGTCTTAAAATTACCCATACCCGGTGCTCCTAGGTGTTCGCAGCTGGCGTGTCGCGAGAACAGAGTCTGCGTAAATGAGAGGACTCGCTCTACTACCTGCTGTTTGTACATGATTGCCTGGGCGGGCCACAGTCGGGCTTTGACGAGCGCGACGATTGTCGAAAAGAAGAAGTAGTCTTTTGCGCCTTTCGTCACCAGCAACGATCGTGCCTCGAGGGAGACCAGTGCCGTTTCGACTAGGGTAAGGAGTGATTCAGGGAGACCGGGTAGGGATTGAAGGAGGGATGTTGAGGATGTTGGAGAGAAGGGAGCGCCTAATGAAATGAGTCGCGGTCCATAAATTGAATAGAGGAACTTACTGTTGTCGGACTCTGTCGAATGCAAAAGTTGGCAGACAGAAATGTAGGCGTGAAGAGTCCATTCACCAAACATACAAAGTGAAAGCGGTCGTGACGTCTCGTGAAGACGTCGCTGAGTGGATAATATCCTGGTTGCAGCATCCATACGAGACCGCGCTGAAGGCGCAAAGAGCGCTTCCCGCCGGGCCTCAATGGCGAAAGGTGTGTGAACCGAGAGTAGTGTCTGAGCTAGCTTTGTCTCGATCAAAGATTTCCACAAGGTCACTTTGTGTTGAGTCACTAGATCGTTCGGTTCAGTTGTGACCCATGCGGGGATGCGAGAAAGATGTCGATTGAGTTCCCAGTCTAGACGCTGTATGTCCTCATATCGACAGCTGATTCGCGGAGAGTGCATTAGAGAGCAGGCTTGCAGACGGAGAGAAAGTGATCGACTTAGAATGGCTTGGAACGACATGTCAGTGGGTTCGCCCAACGGACGACTCTGTGGCACCTCAGTCGTGTTTTCGTGGAGCTCATCATCATGGATATTCAAGGCTGGAGACGCATCGTAGTCGAAACTCTGCACAGAAGGCGGCATGCCCCGATCGAGAGCAATTTGCAGATCGAGTTCCACGATCGTAGTCCAGATTCGACGTCTCATCTCTTTGTTGAATATTGAGATACGTGTATATCGGCTTGGATCGCGGTGGTATCCTGCCATCATTGCCTGTTTCACTAGAGTTCCAATGGCAAGCCAGGATTGGCTGCGCTTCATTCCGTAGATGTTCCGTGCCAAGATCAACAAGATGGACAGGCGCATCGAAACAATTTCCGGGCGCTTGGTGTGGAGGTTCTCTATCCATTTTTCGGCATGTAAAACCCAATTTACAGCGGTGTAGCACTTGAGTTCGGCCACGTTCTTTGACTGCAGACCACTAGGGTCGGCGAGGTTCCATGCGCAGGCAAGAACTAACAGAAGCTGGGCTGCGAAGGCAGGGGAAACGGCACCCGGGGTGTCTAGCAAAGCCCAGAACTCGTCCACTTCTCGTAAGAAGGATGGGACGTGAAGAACACGGTGAGTTGACTCGATATAGGTAAGATACAAACCAATTAGCTCATCCACCACACCGCGCGAGGGCAGCAAGCCGATGAGTGACTCTGTAGTAGGATCGGGGAACGGTGTGTTGAGTGGAATGCGCTTCCATAGTCCTCGCTTCACTCTCTCCAAGTCAGGTCGGAGTTGTGAAAGAATCGGGTTGGATAGCTTGATCTCCTCTGCAAAGGATCGGATATCAGGGAACTATACGGAAAGTCAGTGTCAGGATACCGCGAAGTAACCTATCTTTGGCAGCTGAATGAACCAAAGGGAACCGACCTGCGCTACAAGGTTGGCCAAAATGCCCGATCCACTAAAGCGAGTCCTTGTTTCACGACCTCTCATCATAATCCGAGGAGAAAGATCGAGCTGATGCGATGGAGTCAATGCGTCCTCTTCCTCTTCATAAACATGATCATCATCGACCCGCGACGACTGCAAATCAGGCTCAGGAGCGGATCGCTTCGGACGTTGCAACAAACCCGTATTCACATACGGTTCCTGGTTCACAGCAGCCTTGGGTGCACCAAGAACCGTCTCCAAAAAGCCTCGCTCCTTGCGGTCCTTACCATACGGTTTTCCTCTAAAATGAGGCGCCAGAGCATGTGATGGATGATCATGATGGTGCGGAGGATGCGGATGATGATTAATAGGCTGCATATGATGCGATACAGCGCCCGAGCTGGGGTCATTGGCCTGTGGTGGCTCCGTCCGAGCTGACCCCGTCGCTATCCCCGAGTCTGGGGTGTCGAGAGGGGTATGGTCAGCTCGGGGAATCATGGTGGGCCCTCGGTCGGAAGCAAATGAGGTTGTTGCCACGGTGGTAGGCTGCTGCCAGAGGAAGCCATCCTCGTACGTGCACTTGTTCGGAGTCCTGCTCTTCAAGCACCGGCTGCAGGTGGGATACTCGCGATCACAGCGTAGTTTGCGAGTACGACATTGCGTGCACGCCATTGTGCGACGACGGCGCTTGCGGACTCGTTCTGGGACATTCACATCTTGAACATCCATCGTTCTGTTCAATATTCAATATGGTGAGGATATACAACTTACGCCCGAGAGAAGTTGTCCGAGGTCGACGCGTGCCCCGGCCCCGCTCTTCCAAATGCGGAAAGTACGCCCGGCACATCTTTCTTTCTGTTTGTCGTGTTTCGCTTCACCTGCTATAGTGATGTCTCTCATGAATGCATGCATATTAAGAGATATTGATACAACTATATGAATTGTCAGAGTTGCAGTCTCACTAATTCATGGCCAGATTCCATGGTCTCGCGCTTCGCATATATACTCCAAGAAAATTTCAGGAATTAAGCATTAATAGCAGGTACAATTATTGCTTGGCATGGTTCACCAAGAAATCCCTTGCAGCATTTTCTCGGTCTTGGTCGATGAAAAAAGGCCCATTCTATGATCATCGCCACGCAAGGATAATGCCGATCTGCTTGTCCCGAAATCGGATTGAAAATATTCAGATCGAATACCCCGGGGGCATAAGATCAGTCTTATAGCCGTGATGTCGAGCTGTGAAGGTGCCTAGGTGGGCATCAAATTGCATTAGTAATGTACTGAAGCGGAATATATATTCCTTGAGTGAGGGGAAGGTATTGGGAGATTTTAAAAGGAGCCATGCTATTTTCCAGTCCATAAGCAAGTTTGTGCCGTTCGAAAGGATCCAGTATCTGATCTACTACTAGTAAAATGTCAAAAGTCTTCATGTGAGTTGCTTCTCTACATGCATAGGAGCCACATCACCTCGAGCCAAAGTTGATGAACCAAACAGCACAGGCGTAACAGGATACATCGGCGGTGATGTCTTATCCCAGCTCATCCTCCAATATCCCACCTTCACATACCGAGTACTAGTACGCATCGAGGAGAAAGGGAAACAAATCCAAGCCCAATATCCGCAAGTACAGATAGTATACGGCGATCTAAACGACCGCGCCATTCTACAGCAGGAGAGCGCCAATGCAGATATCATCATCCGTGAGCCAATTATCTACGCCGCGATCCCACATATAGACCCGACTAACAAACCAAACCACAGACTCCGCTGACGCAGCAGACAACCTCCCAGCCGCGAAGTCCATAGCCGCAGGCATCATCCAAGGCCATACCCCAGAACGACCCGCATATTGGCTGCACACCAGCGGAGCAGGTATCTTCAGCTATATCGACGAAGACGAGAAAACATACGGTCTGAAACGGGCAAAGATCTTTGATGATTGGGATGGCGTCAAAGAGATCGTCTCTATCCCCGACTATGCATTCCACCGAGACGTAGACAAGATCGTGCTCGAGGCTGCGGCAGACCATGCAGATGTATTGCGTGCGGCTATTATCTCACCTGTTACTGTTTACGGTATGGAATCCAGCCCGACTGGGGATAGTTACGTGGGTCGGTGCTAACAAGCCTTTAGGTGTTGGCCGTGGACCCTGTTCGCAGCGTAGTAGACAGGTCTATGAGCTAGCGCGGACGACCCTCAAACGAGGTAAAGTTCCTATCATTGGTGCGGGCGAGTCCATGGGCACTAATGTTCATATTCATGACTTGACGGATCTGTTTCTCTTGTTTGTCAAGGGCGCGCTGGAGGGGAATGAGCTCTTGTGGGGACCTAGTTCATATGTCCTTGCGGAAAATGGGGAGCATTGCTGGGGTGATCTGGCGAGGTCAGTTGCACGGGTTGCACTTGAAGAAGGCTTTATATCGAGTGCTGAGGAGGAAACATTGGATATTCAGCAGGCAAGAGATCAGGCCGGGTTTGAGGCTGCTAGTTGGGGGCTGAATGTTCGGTGTCGGGCTATTCGCGCGCGTAAGCTGTTGGGCTGGACGCCGACGCGGCCGAGTCTGGAGGCTGAACTGCGGGATATTGTTAAGGGAGAGTGGGATCTGATGCAACACAGTATTTTATAGAGCATCCACTTGCAAATCCTCTCAAGCCGAGCGGTTGAAAGGAAGAAAGGAAGTGAATTCTCCGAGTCCGGAGTTCGGCTTTTTCAGTCCCCAACTCGGCCTGTCAGATCTCGGAGATAGTGAAGCTGGAGTATATCAGGCAACTACGTCCGCTTTCACCTTTCTAAATTTCATTCTTGTAACAATTTAATCTTCACACAATGTTGCGCTCCTGGTTCTCTCTAGGTCGCGCCAACGAGTACATCTTTCCGACAGTGGACCCCGAGGCGGACGGACCGGACTGCTTGAAAGACTGCGCCGACTGTACAGTGCAATATCCGTCAAAAGTCAAGGTCGAGACTTCAAGGCCGCTATATGGCCAGATCAAGTCCTTCCATTCACACGTTCTTGTGGCGACCGGGCAATCGGACTGGAAAGAGAAAGTTGAGCAGGAAAAAGGCAGCTTGATGGAGGCATTTGATCAGACAAAATCAGAGCACGGTGTAAGGTTGACCTTTAAACAATTTGGAAAGATTGTTTCACTAAATCTCATCACAGCGCATAATGGTCTCAGCATCAAATCTCAATGCCCCAGACCACGACACAGCAGAGGGACCCGACAAAGCCACCTCTGTTCTAATTCTACCATCATTCACATTCGTCGACGGTATCACCCAAGCCGATGTACCAGAAGTGATGAGTCGATTCATCGATCATCCCATCACTCAGGATCGGGTCGATGAAAAGGACACCGATGCTAGTACAGTGTCCCCTGTAGCTGGAATCAGCTCTCGACATTGCAATCTGGATTACGTGGTACTTCTATGCTCACACCGGCGACGAGACGCACGATGCGGAATTACAGCACCCTTAATCAAGCGCGAGTTGGAGCGACATCTTCGTCCACTGGGCCTAGACCGCGACGCCGATGATTCGCGACCTGGAGGCGTTGGGATATTCTTTGTGTCGCATGTCGGTGGACACAAGTTCTCGGCAAATGTCCTTATCTACCGGAAGAAAGATCAGCAGATGATTTGGCTGGCAAGGGTGCGGCCGGAGCATTGTGAGGGGATTGTCAAGTACACTCTACTCCAGGGGAAGATTGTACACCCCGACTCACAGCTTCGAGGGGGTTTCGATCGAGCCCGTGGATTGACGAGTTGGTGATTTCTGAGTGGAGTACTTGCTAGTTACTTTTTCCCTTTCAACATTCTTGATTAATATGGCGAATCTGATATCCCAGGTGCGCTTTTAGAGAAGGAAAATAGATGCAAATCTCCATGTGGCAATTCACTCCTTCACAACGCTCAAATCAGATCTTATTTCCCTCTAACTCAGATTCTAAAGAAGGGCGACCCTTTTAGCCATCCCGGAGACATCAATATAGAATACCACAGGAAACGAGGGTATCAGATAGAGGCCTGATACAACTAATTCAAATGGTCTACACGCGTCTCTATGGTTTCACGGCGTGTTTTTAGGCCAGCCACGAAATCTTCCGAGGCTTCGCTCCTCAGTTTGGCCATCACCAAATACTTTAAATGATTTCAAATTCAGCAAGGCACAAGATGTCTCTGATTTATAAGATTAGAAAAATATATTCGATGACTGTTGTAGAGAACCAAGATCAAATCGTTCATCACGCCGCACCCTCAAGTGTTTCTTCCTTCTGCTGGTGCCTGGCCTTCAGTTTTGCAACAGTCAACTCGCTCAACGCGCCTACATTACCGGCACGAGAGATCTCGGTCAGAGTAATTTCCAGGGACAATTTTCGCCGGAACCAATTCCTGATTTCGATGGAAATTAAGGAGTCAATGACAATTGCCGACATCTCCTCATCTGTCAACTCCCGCTCCTGTCCCTTGTATGAATAGATTGACTTGCCCAGCTCTCCCATGATTCGAAGCTCTGTCTCGGAGTCATCCAATAGCTCTGGATGTCTCTCCACATTGGCGAAAAAAGTTCGTAACTCATCGGTCTTGTCTGTTTCGGTCTTTTTTTCTGCTGCCTCGTAGTTTGCGTAGAAGCTGAATCGGTTATCGTAATTGTACAGTGGGATAACTGTATGGTGATTTGTGCGCTTGCTCCCAAGACCGATCGCAAACAGATTGGAAACTGGGTTGCCATTGTCCGGTCGAGCATTTGCCTCCGCTTGCATGGAAATCTTGAGTCCATCCATCAGATTCTTCTCTCTCAGAATAATGAAAGATGATGCCTCCAATCTGTCCCTAAGCCTTTTGTCCTGACTCACAAACCCAACATCACCCATGGCACCGAGATCAAGGACAGAGGCGGGTAGACCATGGCTTCGACGGTACTGGACAAAGGAATCCAGGAAAGTATTTGCCGCCGAGTAATTGGTCTGGCCCGTATTTCCAGCCAAGCCCACAAGAGAGCTGAACATGACAAAAAAGTCAAGGGAAGAATCTTTAAAAACCTGGTGGAGGTTCCAGGTGCCAGTTACCTTGGGATCAATGACAGTTTTCCATTCCTCATGTGTCATATTGACAAACCCTTGGTCCTATATTTGTGATCAGTTTGGCCGATTTCCGGGATACGATGTGAATGAAGGTCTTACTCGGAGAACCATGGAGAGTTGAAGAACACCCCCAATCGGCCATGCAGAACAGGAAGCTGCTTGTTTGACATCCGCGAGGTTGCAAATATCTCCAGCAATGATAAGGGCCTCACATCCTTGAGTTTGCAACTCCCGAACGAAAGCTTTGTGCTCATCCGATCGGCCACCAGACCGGGAGAGGAAGATCAAATGCCTGGCTCCTTGCTCAACCATCCAATTTGACACACACCTCCCCAAGCCCCCAAGGCCACCAGCGAGGAGGTATGCCTTGGTAGATGATAGGGAGAATGGTTTGATTGAAGGATTCGCCGGCAAGTCTGAAGAGCACGGGGGCATTTTTATGAGGATCTTCCCCATGTGAACGCCCTGCTGCATGAATCTAAACGCCTCAGATATTTGATCGGCATCGTAAACCGTCACAGGTCTGATCGGTTTCACTTTTCCATCCCGCGCCCAGTCCGAGAACTGAGAAATCAGACTTAGTAGACGTGAATTAGCCCGTCAATTTTCAACGTATGGGAGGTTGGATGCCAACAAACCTTAGAATAAGCTCAGGTGCGTCTGTGCCCATTTGATGCAGGTCAACTCCGAAAAATGCCCGGTTCTTTCCAAATGTAGCCATATCAAGTTTGCCATGGCCTAGGAAATCGCGTTTCCCCAGCTCGATCATCTTTCCAAAAGGGGCCACGCATTGCCACGATGCATGCAAGAGCTTTCCTGCCAACGAATTGAGCACCACGTCAACTCCTCGACCATCCGTCTCTTCCATTAACCGAGGCAGAAATTCCGTGCTATGGGAATCAAAGATTCGGTTTCTCGGAATTTGGAGTTCTGTTTGCAGATATTTTATCTTTTCCTCACTGCCGACCGTGGCGAAGATCTAAGTTTGTCAATAACTCGTGCAAGTAAAAGAGAAAGGCTTGACACACCTCGGCGCCCACCAGCTTGCAAATTTGAATGGAGGCCAATCCCACTCCGCCGCAGGCAGAATGAATCAAAACAGTCTGATATGGTGTCAGCGAAGAGCCACGGCGGATCTTAATACTTTAAGAAGTAGCATACCTTGCCCTTGCTAATACAGCCGACATGAATTAACGAATATATCGCCGTCGCAAACACAGTAAGCATGGTGGCCGCATCCTCCAAAGATAAACCTGCTGGAATCTTGACACAGTAATTACCACTAACAACTCGTCGTGTCCTAAGAAGTCCATCCCCCATGAGTGCTACCTTGTCGCCAACCTGGAATGCCTCCACGCCAGGTCCAATTCGACGGATGACCCCACTTGCTTCATAGCCCAAGCTTTCTTTCTCGCCAAAAAGACCTAGAGCAAGCATGATATCCTATGAAATCAATTAGCCTTGGAGTCTGTATTGAATCCACTACCAAAGAATCATACTCGAAAGTTTAACCCAGTATAGGCAATATCAACCTCCACATCCCCTGTTCCCAACGGTGCTTCGATGCATGTGATCCACTGAAATGAGTCCAAGGCGTGTGATGAGTCCATTGAAATCATCCTTGGGGCGTTAGGATCCACCAACTTCGCAGTATAGTCGGATATGGAAGCCCACTTGAATCGACTGATATGTGCAGTTCCTTTTGTCAGGGTATATTCCAGTTCAGGGAGGGAATCCTTGTTGGTAGGCTTTTGCAGAATCTGTAGAATACAGATGATTGACCGGCTGTCAAAAATATCAATCTCAATCGTTATGAACTGGGGAATCAGCTCCTTTCGCAAGGAACGACCGAATCCCAAGACAAGCCCATATCTAGGATCCACACACAATGTCTGCGCCATTGGCATCAACCAAAATACTCTTAAAGATGCACACTCCATCAGAAACTCTTTCAGAATTCTGAAATTTTCATCCGAAAGGTCATCAAGGAAGGGGCCCTCCAGATCGAGGAGGGAAATGACATCGCCACTTTTCGGAACTCCTTCTCCTAGTCGTAGCCAGGTCACGTTGAAGTCTAGATCCACAAGCTGCTTTCCGAGATCGTTTTCCCATTTACCAAGGCTTGTTCCGTAGACAAGTGTGACAGTCCGTTGGTAGGTGTCGTCGATGGGCTTTCTCGAAAGAATGTTGGCAACTTGGCGATAAGGTAATTCTGCATCGTAGCAGATTGTTTCTACGCCAGTAAGACCGGCGTTGCGTAGCTCAGTATTCCAACGCTCTCCATTGATATAAGGATGCTCTAGACGGTTGTCATTCTCACCAATCCACCAACCCGGAAGGGCCCCCTAACGCTTGGTCAGTTGAAATAGTTGTAGAAAAGGAAGCCTCCACTATTGAGCAACACACCAGAATGAAGTCATAATGAGGTGAATCTTCTCAATTGTTAGTCTAGCTTGTCTTGTGCCTTATAGATAAAATCTCGAGTAGCTCACATACCCGGGCATAATTCTTGCATTAGCAGACGGCCGCCGGGAACAAGGAGCTTTTTAACATGCACAAGCGCTTCGCGTATCACTGGGACAACATGAAGAACCTAAAAAAGCTGTTAGCACTTATCAGATAGGGATTTTCACGAGTATCAAACATTTGCAGCAATGACGAGATCAAAGCTGGCCGGTTCAAAGCCTTGGTCTTGTGGATCTTTGCTGATATCCAAGATCTTGTACGCTATGTTGCGGAAACCCTGAAACCGGTCCTCGGCAGACTTCAAGAAACCGTGTGAGATATCCGTAAAGGTGTAGGAGGCGAATGTTTGCAGGCCGTTGGGTTCTTGCAACAGCTCTAGGGCTACTGCAGTAGTAGCACCGGTACCCGCACCAATTTCAAGGATCCTCATTCTTGGATTGCAGTGTCTAAGATGGGGAAACAAGATGTGCCAGCCCAATTTCTGGCTTGCTGACTCGTACAGGCTCTTCAGACCCGAATCTTGCAGCAGTAGCTCCAGCTGAGATATCTTATTTTCAACAATGTCAGCGGCGTTTTTCATTACCCTCTCTATCATGTCGGCCACAGCTACGCTGTAAATTTCAATGGTGGGTAGTTTTTTGAGCTCCTCAAAGATCTTCCGCCTCTCAAGCTGGCCTAAGCTAGCCCAATGCTGGGCTTCAGGAACAGCAGGATAATGACCATCCATGATGTTCTTGGTCACTTTGGTGAGACGCTTCTGATATTTGTGAAGGTGTGGAGCTCCGGCTTGAAGTCTACGAACCTCCTCTTCCGTGTATAGAAGGGCGAGGGTTGACATTTGAGCGAGGAGAGGCGAATCATCAGGAACCGGATCGAACTTCAGCAAGTCTTGCGAGGAAAGAAGATCAACATCTGGTGCCCACTCTACATGGCTTCCTAATGGGATCTCTAGCTCTTCCGTGTTCTCATCGAGTGCAAAAAAGACGCCGCCTTGTATGCTCAGGACCAATTCCCCATGAGCTGTCGCTACTGAATTCCCGGTCAAAGTGTTGCCTGACTCTCCATGGGTTGTAGCAAGCAGCTTAATCTGATTGTCGCATTCTGAGCTTTCTTCCAGGTCTCTCTTTGGGGCGCCACCTGACACGTAAATGCTTTCGAAGTAGGCAGGAACACAAAGCTTTGTGACCACGCGTGAAAGGCCTCTACAGGCCGCAACACCGAGCAATTGCAATGCCTCATCAATGACAATTGGATGCAGAGAATATTGACTTTCGTGCAGCTCACAGTCTGTCACCACGCCACTTGCTATCTTACGAACAGGGTCTGTTGTGATCTGTCGAAGACCTCGGAAACGCGGACCATACCTCAGTCCTAGTTCTGCCATGTAGTCGTACCACGATGAATAGGAGACGCTTCGACTAAATGGCTTGATCTCTTCGGTGTCAGGTAAGAACTCACAGCCTTCGCGAACTTGGCCTTCGCAGTGTTTAACGAAATGCTGGCCGTCAAAAGCCGAGATTGTAAACTCAAAGAAGTCAGAATCGACCACGTCAGTCAGTTTGACGGGCCTCAAGCTAGTAATAATTTCCGTTTCGCGGGCTTCGTAAAGAAATAAAGGGGTCTTCAAAAACAAGTTCTGAATACTGTAACTTTGAGATCCCGTCATTTGGCGTATGGCTTCTCCAGCCATTGTGATATAAGCAGCTCCTGGGAAGACAATATCTTTAAAGAGCTTATGGTCAAGCAGCCATGGCACATCGTGAGTGTTGAGAATGTTTCTCCATGTAGGCTGCTCGTCACTAGAACCAAACAGCCTAGATCCCAGTAGTTCGTGATTTGGGAAAGACCTCAATCTCCATCGCTCTGTGGCTCTAGTTTCGCACCAGAGTCTCTGATCATGTTGCCATGGATAGGCGGGAATGTCGGTAAGAACTCTCCCGGTTCCAAAGGTTTGAGGTAGATTGGAAGGAAGGCCGAGACAATAAATTGAGGCTATGGATGCCGTGAGGCGATCAGCTGGACTCTCTCCTCTCACAATGCAAGGTAGATAAATCGACTGTTTTCTATTATTCGCCTCAAAGATTTGACGAAGAGGGCCAGATAATGTCGAGTGAGGACCAATCTCCAGAAAAACGGCGACATTCTTGTGGTCTCGGAGGATCATATCTACGGCCGTTGAGAAGAGAACTGGCGACTCCAAATTTTGACGCCAGTATGATGCATTCAAGTCAGATGCCTCACTGACTTTCTTTTTGGACACACTCGAGTACAGGTCCAGCATGGATCCTTGTGAATGGAGATATGGGGTGATCGCGTCCTCATACATTTGACCTAGATCGCGCATGTGATCTATATCAGATCAGTCTTTTTTGGTCCTCGCACCATTTCCTAGATAGAACATGTGAAAAGGGGGAATAAAAAAAGTCTCACCGGAGTGATAGGCAACGTTGACCTTGAGTCGTCGACAAAATGCATCAGGGTAATCGGCATGGATTCGCTCAATAGCATGCTCAATTCCATCAGGGTCTCCTGAAAGCGTGATACTTTGTTGACTGTTTTCACAAGCCACAACAACATTCTCTTTCAGGTACTTTTGGATGTCTTTAGATGACATCCCAACAGCTGCCATTGCGCCCGGTCGACTCTTCTTCGTAACTTGTCCACGATAGAAAGCTAGGATGATTGCCGTGTCGGCACTGATGGCCCCTGCGGCGTATGCTGCGGCTGCGGCCATTGTTAGCACCACAATAATAGGATATAATGTTCTCGATGGTTCGTACCAATTTCTCCACTGGAATGACCCACTACAGTCGTCGCCACAACCCCTATTGAAGAAAGCAGATTCACGATGCCAATCTGGACTGCTGTGCAGAGCGGCTGGGACAGCTCGGCTTCGTTGATCCTCGAGATATTCCCGACACATGATAGCTCCTCTGTCTAGATTAGCACATATATTTAAATATAAAAGTTTCGGCTAGCTCACCTTGAATGGTCCACTGCGGAGAATCCGGCAACCTTTGAAGGGTTTCATCCATTGCTTTGATATCAGCCAAGAAATCTTCGTATGTCTCAAGAAGGTCTTTGCCCATGCCCGCCCATTGTGCTCCTTGGCCAGTGAAAACGAAGTGTAACTTCGGGACTTCTGAGGAAGCTTGAAATTGTTGGACATCCAATCCCTCAACCACGTTATCGTTTCTTCCAATTAGGACTGTCCGGTAGGGTAGCATTTCCCGTCGAACTGCAAGATTGTAAGCGAGGCCTTGCATAGATGAACAGCCTTCCATATATCCTTTAACATCCTTAACTCTCTGGCGTAACGCCTCTGGGCTAGCAGCTGATAGTATCATAGGCATAGGCACGCTTTTGCTTAGAATATACTCTTCATGTCCCTGATCGCGTGGAAAAGACGCAGCTGAGTCAAGAATAACCTAGTCAAACTTCAGCCATTTGTTCTTTCTTCAGTCAGTGGTAGTTTGAATAGCTCACATGAGCATTGGATCCTCCGATTCCAAAACAATTAACACTGACTCTCTTCTTTCGGTCAGTCGGCCAAGGCGTTTGCTCAACCGGCACTATCAATTGAGCATCTTTGAATGGGACTGTGTATATTTGTTAGAATGGAATGAACAAGGATCAATGTAACGACCCTTACTTTTTGGGTTCGGCTCATTGAAGTGTATATTGGGTGGAATGATGCTGTGTTCAAGAGCAAGAACACTTTTGATGATACTCGAGATGCCGGAGGCACCTTCACCGTGACCAATGTTTGGTTTTACCTGTACAACATATCAGTGATTGATGTCAATGTGGTTCCTGATTACTGACAGATCCAATGAAAGTTTGGTGATCTCCGAACAGCTCCGCGACAACAGAAACCTCCGCTGTATCTCCCACCGTAGTACCTGTGCCGTGGCATTCAAAGAAAGGTGTGTCTGTGATCTTGCTGATTCTCGCAATCTGGTATGCCTTCTGAATCAGACTCTTTTGGGTTGCTGATCCTGGCGTGGTAATACTGGGTGTCCGACCATCACAATTTTTTGCGGTGGATCGGATGACCGCGCGGATAGGATCACTATCACGCAAAGCTGATTTGAGGGATTTGATATAGATAGCATTGATTGCCTCACCTCGACCGTATCCATCTGCTGCGGCATCAAATGTCTTGCAAATCCCGTCCGGTGCGAGAACCATGTTATCAGACATATTAGTAGTCATCGTTGGCGTCAGGATCAGGTTTGTACCTGCCACAAGGGCAGAGGAGCAGTCCCCCGCCTGAATCGCGGTACAGGCTTCGTGTAGCCCTACCAAAGAGGATGAGCATCCTGTAGACAAGGTCATGCTAGGCATTGTGGATTAGTTGTAGCAATTTACATGTTAAATCGCCTTTACTAGCTCACCTTGGCCCAGTCAAATCAAACTCGTAGGAGATTCGGTTTGACAAGGCAAAGTTTCCAGTTCCCAAAACATGAGCACGGTCTATATTCTGGCTGTCTTTGCTCTTCAGGTCAAGCCAGTCTTCACCAAAAACGCCAACGTAGCAACCGATATCTCTTCCACGCCATCCAACCTAGCATCTGTTAGGCTTTATATCATAATTAAACTAGGATTTGATTACCTGGCCAGCACCTTCCATACACTCCCAGATTACCTCCAGAAGTAGACGCTGTTGGGGATCCAATCGACTTGCTTCGGTGGTGCCGATGTCAAAGAAGCTGGCATCAAAGTGTGCCGGGTCATCTTGCAAGAAATACCCATGTTTTGTCTTGACAGCATGAGGCATTGTTTCGTGATAAAAGCTATCCACATTATAGCGGGTTTCTGGGACACGACATAATCCATCCTTCTTGTTCAGAAGAAATTCCCAGAATTCTCTGTCCGACTTAATTCCGCCTGGAAGTCTCATTGCCATACCCACAATCGCAATCGGTTCGAACTCTTTGTGGCCGACCCTCTCTTCTGACAATAATGAGTTCCCCATATTGTCATCGTGCGTACAATCGATACAAAGGGTCTCGGGTTCTTGGATCACCTTTTCGTCGAGTACCTCGCTGGGAGAGATTTGAAGCTCTAAGGCGGCTGGTGGCATTTTAACGATTTTCCGAACGTGAATGTGGTGGACTAGACAGATAATTTCAAAGCCTACCGCTGCTGCATCAGTTCCAGTTCCCTTGCAGGTCTTATATCTTCGACAACAGGCTAGCGCTATGGATTAATGGGGCTACATTGTTGCTGGCTGATCCTTCCATTTCGAAAAGAATATCAGAGTAATAGTCAATACGAAAAATACAAAGAATTGTCTGTCTCGTATTCGGGCCCATACCACCACCCCTCGGCTTGCATTACACGAACTCATGCATCCGAGCAAAACTTTACTTTCTTCCGAACACCACAACGATAGGGAGTTGCTTTATTTGCTGCGCCTCGTAAGTATGCAGTGCAAAGTGATGAGCGCCTGCAGACTGCAGTTGCTGCATCACATGAATGTGAGACGACTTCCCGTCAGCTAAATCCTCGATTATATTGTTTTCATTCCTCTTGTGTCGGTCATGAACCGCTCGTATTTAATCCTCGAGGTCGACCGTTGTCGCCAGTTCAAACCGACAAATAATCTAAGGCGTCAGTCTCACAGCAAATTTCTCAATGCTTGTTCATAGTATCCTCAGATCTTTTATTCTGGTGGCGTCGTTGGCATCTCTGACCCCAGCAGCATCTTTTGACCACACGCAAACGTTCAAGGACTTGCAAGACCTTCGGACTCGCATAGATTCTATCAACAGCTGCCTGGAAACATATGATGGAGGCACTCTAAAATCTCTCACATGCGCAAAAGATCTGTATGGTCTCATGGTGACTAGTACAAGTACACGATCTCAATATGAAAGTTCTGGTCCTTTCTCCGATGATCAGCTCCCTGAATTTTTCGACAAATATCACGCCATGCGGACCAGTATTCAGAAGACTCTCAGAGCTGCCACTTCCAAGGTATGTTCGTCCTATATCTTTCCTGCCTTCCAAAGGTTGGGTAATAACGTGCGGTCACAGAGCTCCCAACTTGATTCCGCAGGATTCAACCTGTTTGCTCACAGCATCATTCAAACCTTCTCGATCCAGCGGGGCGTGTTCGAAACATTGACTAAAGGAAAGGTTCCAGTGGCCAACCATTCCATGATTGCTGGGCCTGTTGACAGCCTTGATGCTGAGTTTCAAAACGCTCTTTCTGGGTTTGCTGGTGGTATTGGAAGTATCCTTGGCTCTATCTAATCGATACTCTGGCAGCTCAAGCTCTATTGATGATGCTTTGTTCCGATACCCAGGGGCTTTATATCCTTAAAGTTACGAGTTATTCTCGCTGTTCCTGTCTTCTACTACCAGCGCCCGGGGGACATGGATTAACTCTTTCATCTTCTCGTATGATCCTGTTGAATTCTAGTGCATTCTGCGATTGTATCGGAGACAGTTATATAAGATTGAAAGATCTTTGCGTGCGATTTTGTTCCCACAGGTATGTCATACTGTTTGATTCTGGCACAAAGAGATGATCAGTTTGATTAACTGTCATGTCTAATCTAGTCACACATGTGCAGCTAAACTTTGTAGACTGGGTCGATGCAACCCGGATACAAATTAAAAAAACAACTCAACTCTTCCCATTTATAGTGGGGTAAAGGAAAATCCTCTTACATTACGAAATCTTTTGTACAGTAATTAATATGGCACTAGCTTTTGGATCCTCTAATAGCACATGCTGCACCTTCAGGTGGCTGCACCATGCAGTCGGGTTGCAGCTTGAAGCCTAGATCGATAAATTGATAGATCAATGCGAACTGCCCCCAAGTATGAACTAGTATCGGTATTTATGTTGCATGAGCTTATCACGAAGCAGGCCAACGTTCCAGTTGGGCTTTCCCTTGGTAATCCGTGTTATATCATTGTTTCTGTTATTCATCAAGCTAAGCTTACGCACCTCAGCAGCACCTAATATCGACATTACCATTACTGCTGGACAACTTGTACTTTTATTCTCATTGAAAATCATCCCATCTTACTAGTCTACTCTTGGAGCATGGGAAGATGCCTGGGGAATCAGATCACGCATTCAAGGCTGATGGGGGGATTGCCTCCTACCCAATACTCATAATTGGGGCTGGGATATCCGGCATTGCAGCAGGTTGTCAAGTGAAACGCACACTTGGGGTTGAAGACTTTGTGATCTTTGATAAAAACAATGACATCGGCGTAAGTATTCTTTTATCTTGAAGATATTCCTTGGATTCATTACTGACTATGAAAGGGAACTTGGTTTACGCATCGCTACCCTGGCGTTGCCTGCGATGTGTGAGTAGGCGCCACGTATTCCCAGATCACCCGACAAATCCCCAAACATCGCTAACTCCGCCCGCTAGTCCTGCAATCCTTTATTCATTTTCGTTTGCCCCAAATTATAATTGGTCGACATTGAGGCCGTCAGGAAGGGAAATCTGGAAGTATCTCGCGGACGTCTGTGAACAATACCACCTTTCAGATAACATTCACCTGAACACAGAAGTCACCGAACTTCAATGGGACGAAGAAAAACTAGAGTGGGAGGTAAAATTTCAACGTCATCCAAGCCTTAGGAAGGGTACCATTCGAGCCAAAATTGTCTTGACTGCTGTCGGAAAACTGGCCAACCCAAAGACATCTGAAGATGTTTTACAGAACGTCCATGGCGTTGAAACCTTCCAAGGAAATGTCATCCACACATCGCAATGGAATGAGTCGGTGGATATCCGCAAAAAGAATGTTTTGGTCCTTGGCACGGGCTGCTCCGCGGCACAGATTGTACCTCAACTGTTGGGAACAGACTTGGGAGCGGATTCCGTGACCCAATTGATGCGATCTCCTCCCTGGGTTGTTCCAAACCATCTCTCTAAGAAGCACATTGGCTGGTGGGAGAGATTCACGCCCTCCCTCACACGCAATATTCCTGGGTTCGCACAACTTGTTCGAGCGATTATCTTCGTTATAACGGAAACCAACTATTTCCGTTTCATAAGACCAGGAATTAACGCCCGGATTCGTCGAGCACAGAAAGCGAAAGCACTTGTCTCTCATATGAAACGAGAGGTTCCATCCCAATATCACCAGATTCTCACGCCTCATTATGAAATGGGTTGCAAGCGACTCGTTCATGATGATGGGTGGCTTCACTGTCTTCATGACTCAAGGGTGAAACTTTCCACGCTATCACTCAAAAGCTTGGGTCCCAAAGAGGGTGTTTTAGGGGACAAGGGTGAACAAATCACAATACCACTCGACGCAATTATTCTCGCGACAGGCTACGATACATCGACATTGCTGCAGCCTATGTGCATTATTGGACGAAATAGAATAGACCTTCATGAGCTTTGGAAGAGACGAGGAGGACCACACGCCTACATGGGGGTGGCACTTGACAACTTTCCTAATTTCTTCTTCCTTTTTGGCCCAAATTCTTCGAGTGGACACACCAGTGTGCTTGTCGGGATTGAAAACGCTGTCAACTATACACTTCGGATTATCGGGCCAATCGTAAAAGGTTGGGCAGAGGCATACGAGGTAAAAGAGGCAGCGTGTACGAACTGGACAGATATTGTTCAACAGTCTTCGAGAGAGCGTGTTTGGGTCAACGGTGGATGCAGGAGTTGGTGGGTTGATGAAACAAAATGGAATGGCATGGTATATCCGTGAGTGTCCGTGCTTTCATGAACGAATGCAATCGATATCCCAGTTCTAACTTGGCACTTCTACAGTTTCTCCATGCTTTACGCTACTTATGCCGCGGCATTTCCCATTTGGGATGATTGGGTCCCTACTTACACCCCTGAGGGTGTTCTACAAAGAAACAAACGCTCAAGTACTACATTATTGACTTCAGTGAGCCTCGCTATTCTCATGATGTGCTTATATCATGTTTCATGGCATGGAATGACAGCTGTTGGTGTGAAAGCTTAACAAATTCTCTCAATGAAACTTATTTCGTAAATGACGATCCCGCCGCGTTAGAATACATAAATGTATTTACAGACAAATTGGGCTAGCAGAGAACCTGACCGTTTTGAACTCAAGTCAGATTCTTTCATGCGAAGAGCTCTTTTATTGGCATTTAGATCGGGTAGTTTTACTAGAAATGCACATACTGTATTAAAGATGCCGAAAACGCGGGGTTTGTATTATTCCTTTTTTATTTCTTTCCTCATTTGAGAACGAGCATATGCAGGCGCCTTGCTATCATAATAGTCCCTCTCCCTCTTCGTTCATCCACCGACTTACTATCCAATCAAATATTGACACATACAGTCTGAATCTCTGTCAGATTCAGGTCTAAGTTTGCGTGCCGTGTGTGATACGCGCTATAGGCACTTAAAAATTATTTACGCACCCTGCGTAAAATTTGAGGATTGAACTCTTGATTGCTTCCTTATAAGTGAACATAACAAATCTCACAAATATCTTATTCCTCTCGTAGGTTTCAAATCATCTGCCATCGAGTGATAACAGATTTTGTCAGAAATGTTTCACCAGCTCCCTCTCGTGTCAGATTCTGAAGCCCTGAAACCTCTTATCGGCGACATGGGTAACTTATGGTTAAATCTTGCTCAATCTTATTCAGCGGCAAATATTGAGTTTTTTGGCACACTTTCTGTCCAGGTTTGCTCATTCTGGGCGGGAGTTATCATCCTCACCTCAGCAGATGTGATGGGACCATCGTTTCTTAAAAGTTATAAACTACAATCTCTCTCCAAACAACCCACCGTTGGTTTCATCTGGAGTTGCATTCCTACCCTTATACGAAACCAGCTTCTCACGACAACACTTCACTTCTTGCAACTGAAACTGCTTCCTCAATTGACAGGAAAGTCTACGGTCTACCGATTTGAGACTCATCTTCCCTCTATTTGGGAAATTGTCGTCGGCTTGGTGCTTTGTTCCATCGCTCGAGAGGCTCTGTTTTACTACAGCCACCGGGTCTTTCATTGGCCTATCCTCTACCGACATATCCATAAAGTGCATCATGAATTTAGTGCTCCCACGGCTCTTGCAATGCAATACGCACACCCAGTTGAACATATTGTGTCGAACATTATTCCAATCGCGGCCCCAGCGAGAATCTTCAAGGTACATATCATCACTTTTTGGATATTTATCATTGGATCCATGGTGCAGGGATTGCTTGCTCACTCCGGATATGACATACGGACCATCATTGGGACCAAATCCAGCACTCATGATATGCATCACGAGTTAGGAAATGTTAACTTTGGGATCATTGGCTTTTTAGACAAGATCCATGGGACAGATCCGAGTGGCAGAAGGAAGAAAAGGCCACACAGAGTGTCTGCAGACCGTTTCAAGTCTGAATAAATGTACATTTTGAGACTACTGAGAGCTTTTTCTTGGAAATACAGTGTGAAACAGCAGCAATGGGATAATACATATGCAGCTGTAATTGAATTATGTCGACAAATGAGAATGTAGACGCGATTCAAATAAGTGGAGTGATTTCAACTTATGATACTGGACTGCAGTCTCTAGTGCTGTTGGATAATAACGCACAGCTAAACTGGCTAAGTATGTCGAAGATATGCAGAAGAAAGGAGAATCTAAGAAGAACTTTATGCACACTTTTAATAGAAGATGGATGAGCCTTTGACTTATTGGAAAATGACAGCACAATACAACAGTGTCATAAATGTGTATACAGTGCCACTGATGAAGTATTGGACTCTCCACACGAGACCCAGCTTCGAAGCGAGCATATCGTTTCAGCCATTGTTTTTGTCGTATTTCGGTCTCTCTGTTTACGCCTCTCTTTTTGCGCATTTTCGAGTGCCTCGGATTGTAGTTGTTCAAATACAGAGAAAAATCGATACTTGTACTTGTAGAAGTTGAGAGATAAACGTACGTACACGCATCCAAAAATCTTGTATCCCAGGTAAACCACGCATTTATGTAGCTTATTAACACAGAAATCATAATATATGTAACTTACTATTCAAGTGTAATTAGGCATAGATGTCTGACCTTGAAAGGGATCATGTGACGCGCAACGTCACCGCGTTAAGTAGTTTCGCGACGCGTCGATCAATTTGCGTTCCAGACTTCGGCCCCGATCTTATTCTCAGTATGCGATAATGGCAGACAATGTTCTAAATTCTAGTGCAGAGGTCGCTGCTCAAGCTGTCAATGTTCGCGCCGATTTAAAAACATGGGAGAAAGCCTTCGCGTCAGCAAATGGGGGCAAGAAGGCCGGACGCGATGATATCAAACAGAACCCGGATATCGGTAGGTCGAGCCTTTCGCGTCGCAGCAAGAGCCTCAATGGAGTCAATAACTGATATTCAATCCTTTTGGGTACATTAGCGGCGAAATACAAGGAATACAGTCGACTAAAGACCCTCGAGGCCTCCCTGACTCGACGCGAAAACCGCCGACAGGAAACAATAGAAAGCCACTCTAAAAAGCGGAAAAATGAATCACCCACCGGTCAGGATGGCGCATATTCTCAAACTACCCCGCGCAAGTCCTCTAAAGGCCTGTTTGCGACTCCGTCCAATAACCGCACCTCCAAAATACACCCTGCGCAACTCGATCCGTACGATTCACCATCAACCCTTCGCAGACTCTTCAGTCCTAGCACACATCAAACAGCACAGTCACCATTGAAAGCTGCAATCGGCCCAACTCCCCAGCGCGATGGGAAAACACTGGGTCTTTTCGATATGCTATCCGAGTCGGGAGGGAGTGGTGGAACGCCTTCCGTAAAGCGGCAGGCGAGTAACCTAGCTGCGGGATTCAGAACACCATCCAAACGAAGGCCGGTTGAGACGATTCCAGAGGATCCAGAGGAAGAGCCACAACAGGAAACACCAAGACTGGCGCGCACCCCGGCCTCTTCGACTAAGCAGTTCTATCTTGCGAATCTGTTTGCGACACCGACGACAATGCGCTATGCTGCTATGGTGGAAGCGGAAGATAATGAAGAGGCACAGAACAACGAAGTCTCACACCCGACTGATATATCACCACACGCTGCTCACTCTGGGACACCCACCTTTCTTCGTCGTTCGAATTCCGGTCGGTATCCGTTACCCAGCGCAAGCAATGGTGGCCAGGGACTCAGTCCTATTGTCTCGCGAAAGCCACAGCAATTCGCCAGTAAAGGATTGTCACATTTGGTCCAGGGACTGCGGGACATGGAAGAGGACCGCATGGAGGACGATTGGGAAGTGATGCGTGAGATGGAGGAAGAGGCACAAGCAGAAGAAGCGGCCAAGAACCAGGTTGAGGACAGTCAGAATCCGGATGTTAACCGGAAGTATAAGAAGAAGGGCCAGAAGCGGACGACTCGGAGAGTAGTCATGAGGCCGGTGGTCAACCAGCCTAAGCCTAAGCAGCAGCCCGCTCCTGCCGAGGAGGACTTTTTCTCGGGAAGTGACGATGAGTTGGCAGCCATTCCAGAGACGCAACAGGCGACTGGTACCGATGATGCCAATGACGGCTGGGATGATGTCCCCAGTGATATTGAGCGTGCGGAAGAAGATGCTGCAGCTCCAAACATGTTAGAGCCTGAACTGGACACAGAAGCAGAGTTTGATCCAGACTCGGATGATGACCCTGAATTCGACGAGAGGCCTAAGCCTGTATCTAGGACGAAGAGTTTCTCTGAGAGGATCAAGGAGGCTGTATCCTCTTCTGGGGCGAAACCGAAGGAGCAAGCGTGCCTGGGTAAACCTTCGAAGACTGCTGCTGCGCCTGAAGAGAAGAAACCTCATTCTCGAAAGGTTAACCCTCAGGCTCATGCGAACTATCGATCATTGAAAATTAGGAACAGGGGAGGTTCACGGGGTAGAGGGGGACGCTTCCGCCGGAGATAGGCGTTCATTAGCCTTGGTTTGGCTTTCATGATGTGATGAATGCATTCATATTCAGCATAGGTACTAACTAGTCATTCGGAGTCATTCATAGCATGCATATATCTGTCATTTTGGACTGAGCGTTGTTGATTTAGTTACCTCCAGACGCTTAGGTATTGAGATCATAATATTCATATTGGCTAAACTCGCTGAGGTATCTAATTGCATTCCAAACTTCGTAGATGTTCATTTGCTACGCCCAGATGGCCATTCTATCAAAAATGAGATGATGGAAGACATGCTGAGGCGATTCCGAGGCAGCCGTTACCACACCCAAGCTCCGCTTTGTAGTCAGATAGACTGCCCAGTCAATACGGATGATATCGTTGCTGAGCATGTTGCAGCCGCCTAGACCGATCAAGCGCCTCTTGAGACCGTGACCTGTATGGCCGTCGTCGAAACGATTGAGCCCTGCCCCGATTGCTCACAGAACGCGGACTGCGATCAAACTCATGAGATTCCCCTCGTCCTCTGTCGGAAGTACCTCGCGCAGTATTCGGATACTGCACATGGCGGTCCCAATCCTCCAAGGATGTATAGGGACTTCTCAGCCACGCCTGCAATTCATGGATGAACAAACGAGCATTCTCACGTCCGATGAAATCGCGCAACAGCTCCTCCGCTTGTCCAGTACTACCTTTGAGATCGACCGTTCGCAAAATGGCGATGACATACTCAAGAAGAAACTCGGCATTGTTCGCTCTGCGATTCTCCAGCCGTTGGTGTCCCGGCCGTGACACTTGCTGAGGCGTCCGCTCTTCCTCTTCCGCCTCGGGGTTCAAGAAGCTGAATACTTTCAATTCACGGCGGATCCACTTCCGAGCTCGCCTCACGAGCTCTTCATCGCGGTTGAAGAGATCCGGTGTCATTTCTCGGTATTGCGATAGGCGATTGGTCCCGACTCGCATGGAGTATGTTTGGTTGCGATACACATTGCGCCGGCGTTGGAGGGGATCATCTGGCTGTGGACGCGGCGGTTGTGTAAAGTTGCGCCCTCCTCGCGGGCCATGACGAGCTCCTGGACGCGATCGAGGTGCCGTTGAGGTAGGAGGCTTCGCGGTCCGCGGCGGGACCTTGTACAGCTTCGGGCCTTGCGGGGCTTGGACTTCGTATTTCACGGCTGTCAGCTCGCTTTTACCTGTTGTACAGTCTGTCAGCTCCAGTCAGAAGACACGCGCAGTGTGTCCTTACATAGTGGACAGGTAGGCTGTTCCTCCAGCCAACTGACGAGGCACAGGAAGTCGAAGTTTTCATGATGACATGGCTGTGCCACGCAGGGCTCGGTGATTTTGTCTAGACAAATGACACAGGGATTAGCGATATCAGCCTCCTCCACCTCTTGCAGAGTTCGCTGGAGGATTTCCTGTCGTACATCATCGTCCATACAGAAGGTTGGTGGAGTCACGTTCAGCGGGCGGCAAAACCTCCCCGGCGCTTTTCCGCGAACTCAGCTCTTTCCTTGTGTCGTCGTCTCGTCGCTTCATTGCTTCATCGCTTCGTCGCTTCGTCGTTTTTTTTTTTCTTGATTCGACGCTTTCTTCGAAATGCGCTAAGACTATCTTTTTCTGATTCTACAAGGCCATAGCATGCGGTCTGCCAAAGCCGTCGTTTCTGAGAAACTTGCGCGCCTTGGAGCTCCGAACATGTCTCACAGCACCACCAGCGGAATGCACGCCTCTAACAGACCGCACACCATTACCTCGCTGCGGCGCTGGTCTATTGTGAATAAGGAACTCCCGGGTAAGAACCCAAGCCTGATCAACCAGCCGTGGGAAGTACTGACAAACGCGATTATCACTACAGCTATGCGCAAGATCCGCGCAATTCACGTTTACGACTTCGACAATACCCGTGAGAACCCCTGGATTTGATTTCGATCTTACCATTCTCAAACCGTCGCTAATATCTGTACCTTCCAGTATTTCTAAGTCCCTTGCCAAACCCGCAGATCTGGCATGGATCATCTATCGGATTCCTTCAATCAGTCGACCACTTTGCCAATGGAGGATGGTGGCACGACCCAAACATCCTCAGTGCGACAGGCAAGGGCATGGAGGTTGAAGAGCCCCGTGCATGGGAAAAATGGTGGAATGAACAAATCGTGGGACTTCCGATATACCTTGCACCCCAGGAACAGATCAACTAACTTCCAAAAGCTTCGCTTGGTGCGCATGAGTATGGAACAAAAGGATGCCCTCACAGTGCTGTTGACCGGCCGCAGTGAGGCTGGCTTTGCCGATGTCATCAAGCGGATGGTTGCAAGTCAAAAACTCGAATTCGATCTCATCGGTCTCAAGCCGGAGGTTGGTCCGCACGGACAGCGATTTTCGTCGACCATTGAATTTAAACGGACTTTCCTTGAAGATCTGGTTCTCACTTACGAGCAGGCTGAAGAGATCCGCGTTTATGAGGACCGCGTCAAGCAGTGAGTTATGAATGGATACTTGGAGTGTCTTTGGGTGCTAACAAGTTGCTAGTGTGAAAGCATTCCGGGAATTCTTCGAGGACACGAACAAAAAACTTCAGATTGGGGCCCTTGCCACCACCACACGTGTGCCAATCCTCGCTGAAGTCATCCAGGTAACTGAAGGCTGCACATACCTCGATCCCGTAACCGAAACAGCTGAGGTGCAGCGCATGATTAATTCTCACAACCTTGCGTTGCGCGAGCCTTCTCTATCCACGAAGAACATCCGCAATGGGCGTTTAAGCATCAAACGGGTTGTGTTCTACACTGGATATCTTCTTTCCCAAGAAGACTCAAACAGCATGACTGAAAAATTGCTGGTTCCAGCACTACCCCCCGGTCTTGCTGACTCAAATGACCTCAAATACATGGCTAACAGCATTCTAATCACCCCACGCCCAGCTCCTCGCTCCATCCTGGAGAAGGTTGGAGGCATGGGCAAGACAATCAAGTGGAAGGTTACCGGTACCGGAACCTTTGAAAATAAGATCTGGGCTGCCCGCGTGGCACCTGTTTCGGCAACAGAGCCGTGGTATACGGATAACCCACTGCCGCTTGTAGTACTGGCTGTGCGCAAAGGTGCTCGCCTCGTTGACGCAGGGAGAATTCAGAATTGGCACCCTGCTTCGGCCGACATGGCTATGACATTCGACACTGTTGTCGGAGAAAAGGTTGTCTTGAAGATCGAGACCGAAGACCAACACATGATGAACAAAAGCCATAAGCGACGTTTCCAGGATCGCGATGACAGTACCGTGGCCCACGCCACCCATACCAGCTACGAAGGGCAATTATCTCATGCCCGTGGCAATCACAGCTCCCACCAGCGTGGTGGCGGTCATTACTTCGACGAAAGTCCTCGAAGGGGAGCCTATCGTGGCCGTGCCCGAGGTAACGCACGTGGACGAGCCAACAGAGGTTCCCGTGGACGAGGTCGCGGCCGTGGTGACCATGCAGCATACCACTACAGGTCGCTGGATGATTATGGCGATGCTTCCCATGGTGACAGGGGAGGCCATGGTGGTGATGCCGGACGAGGAGGATATGCAATGGACTATTGATCTTCAAGATGCGTTCCGCGTTTTCGCCGCAGCTTTGAAAAGCTCACCCAGACTATTGGAAACTATTTTCTGTAGGTTTCCGGGATTTCCTTGCGTCGGGGTTCGGCGTGCATCAGCAATGGGTTGGCGCAGGGTGCCTCATACCCTCCTATTCATATTTTATGATCACAATTCAGCACTAAGGTGCTTGCCTGCTCAGGTAGAACTGTTCTTATCTTGTACGCATAGCTTACGAATATATTCTTTATTTGTGCCACTGAAAAACTCACATCTAACGACAAGGTCGAATCCACATGAAACTAGCATTTCGGTATCCCGCATAGTTTCCATGAGGGCTGTTTACTTGTCTGATACTGAAAGTCCATCTCGACTTTTGCTGATTACTGTTTTGTAGAATAATCACAACATCCATTGGGATGGTCTCTTGCCAAGCTAACACCTTGAGGTTAGAGAGCATGCTCTGCAATGTTATATACAAGCTTCTCTCCACTGATTTTGCCCTCTCTCAGGAGATCAAGACCTTCCAAAACATCCTTCAAATCATCACCATCACCAACCCTAGGAGGATGTACCATGATGTTTCCAGCTGCCAGCAAGTCCTCAAAGATACCACAGAATTGCTCAGAGAAAGCCCTATCATCTTGCCGAGCTGGGATTTCGTTTGGGCCGAACTTGAAGCTCTCACCACCGTATAGGCCATGGTAGCCCGGTCCTGACATTCTCATGCTCAATCTTTATTAGCAGAAGCGAACTATAGTCACCCCCTTGTGGTGAGAGAGCACTCATAGTACTTGGCACTGCTCGCACTGCTCTCCAAGGAAATGGTGTCGAACGCCAAAGTGAGCCCATCCTTCGTTCTTTCTCTGATCGCGTCGGCAGTGTTTGGATCATTATATTCAAATAGGATATCGGCATCAAACTCTTTCACCTGTTTAAGGTTGGGAGGGGAGTATGTGGTAAGAACTTCATAGCCAGACAGCTTGGCAAATTTGAACTGCCAGAGTTCCAGTAGCTATCGAACCTCCGTAAATCAAGATGGACACACGCTCATGAAATAAACTGAAATTGGGGAGACAGGCAGAACAAGTTTAAGACTTTGATAAAGCCCTAGGGCAGCGCTAGTAACACCAAACCCCAGTGTCACAGCATCTGGGAAGCTCATTCGGTCGGGAATCCTATATATTTGGCGAAGGTTCCGTCCTCAGGCTGTGTGGTGTCGAATCCACGTGCGAAACCATAGATATAGTCACCCATTTTGAAAGGCTTTTTGACTGCCTTGCCGGCTTCTTCCACGATACCGGCGTAGTCGCAGCCGACGAGTACTCCCGGGGTGCCAAGTAATCGATGTGTTTCCAATCGGTGGGATTCAATGCCACATTAACATTCCTGATGAGAATTCAGTCGTCACGTAGTTTCAGGATAGGTCTGTTGAAACCCAATTCCGCATGCTTTGGTGAGGAAACAATGATAGATTTGGAATGGCATCTTGTACTGGCTGTGTCGGATTGTGAGGTTGAAAATGGATATCAGGCTTGCTGAGGAATTTCATGCCATGGCAGGTATTCTTTGGGATATTTATGGTCTTATGAATCAGTCATTTGAGGTATATAAGTTGGTATGGTTAACGGTTGACGGGGCACAGTTGACCAATAAACGTTGAGCTGTAAGCAGCCTGCATTGGCGCGCAAAGTGGATCGAGGTCCGTTGGTCACGTCCACTTTTATTTCTGGATCTATGAAGCCCTGTTTTACAACCGTCACTATTCCTAAGCGTCAAAGGGCGGTGATAGATATGACACCCAGATACCCCCCTGTATACCACGATATGAAAGAAATATACTTAGTTCGGGAAATCAACAATCCTCGCCTGTTGAATTACAAGACCCTTTCAGGTCAAAGTAACAGACCTCCCCAAAATTAGCGCTACCAAAACTCATTTAAAGCCGCTTAAGTTCTTATGTTTAAATCTTGAAGTAAAAGCAAAATAAGCTTCAATTTATCTGGACTATGAGATTTCAGGAAAAGGCAAAGATACAAGGATGTGAGGCAGGAGATCGCCAACAAAATTCGATATTTATCTACTGGTACTCAGGGAACTCCTCAGCAGTCCACACTTTCCAGACGAGTCTTTCCCCACTGACGGTGCCACTTCTCATAATATCCAGAGCAGTGCTGGCTCGCTCTAGTAGGGTGTTTCCTTCAATGACTCGTTGTTTGTTTGGTTCAATTGCCCCTTGAGAAAGGAGAGTTGGCAAAATATCCGGCATGAGATTGTCTTTCAGAAAGGCATTCTGGAGAGACTTTAGTAAATAATTTGAAGTATTGTGCATGAAAAATAACACTACTTACCGCTTCATAACTGTAGCTCACAATGCTATGGACCTCAACACCTGGTACCCAATCTGCCTCCTTGGAGACATCAGCAGACAACTGCAGTCCGTTCTCATCAGACGGGCCATTGATTACAACTGGTAGAACAGCTGCAACCTTGGAGCCTGCTTGGATCGCAATCTCTGAGATAGGAAGCAAGGAGCCGAACTTAGAGTCAACGCAATCAAAAACACGAATAGCCTTGGAGAATTTGTTTGCGTTCAAAAGCTCCATGATAGAATCTACAACATTAGGGCTGCGATAATCAATGACATGGGCCGCACCATATCTTTTGAGCTTCCCTTCATGCTTGGGGGATGCAGTGACGATGACATTCTTGTATCCCCAGTTCTTCAGAATCTGGACCGCAAACTGACCAACTGAGCTACCACCACCCCAGATCAGGATTGGAATTTCCTGGTTGTGAGACACAAAGCCTGGAGGGCAAGGCCATGGCAGCTGAATCTCAAGCTTTTCTGACAGAGCATGGAAAGCGGTCACAAAATTCGTGGGAATGGTAGCTGCAGCGGCAAGAGAGATTTCGTCTGGAATCTGTCCAACAATTTAGTCTTCTGATAACTAGAGATATATATGCATGAAATGTGCAACAAACCTTTCCAAAGAGATGTTCGGGTGCAGTCACGTAAATCTGTTGACCCTTTTCCTCTTGGGTGTGGAAGACGAATCCAAATACTCGGTCGCCGACCTTGAGGTGCTGGACGCTGGAACCGACTGCGACTACAGTTCCGGCAACACTGTCACCGAGACGTAAAGGAAACTGAGCCATCAAGCCGGCATCAACCTGGAAAACATCCAGCGGTGCGGATGGTATCCATTCTGCTCGAACTTGAATCTCATGCTGCTTTGGGGTAGCAGTAGAAACTCGCTGAAGCGTCAATGGCTCTTTGATGCCAGTAGCGATGATTGCGTGATGAGTAGACATTGTTGACTAAACGGAAACCTGATACTTTTAAAGTGATGTTTAAAACCAGGGCCATCTAATTGTGCTTTATATATTGCCGGTGTGGAGTAGAATTTACTGCTGTGGGTCGATGAACAATACGCTTACATTTACTAATCGAGATGCAACCCTGGAAATTCCTTTCTGCCTGCTATTATTACTTAAACTCATATAATTTAAATACAAGTGGGTCGGTTACTATTTTGATAACTGAGGTGGCCAGAACAGCCGCCAAATGAACCATCAATCTGTTCCTATTACTAGCATAGAACTTGACGCCAACGAAGTACTCTCTCACCTCTCTTCACTCTCCACTTATTAGTTGAGACAAGAATTTCAGGCGATCCTCGCAAAACCCATCCCCACTTCTTAGCAAATCCCTCTGTGACCTCCCAATTTCGAGGATCCCAAGGTGTGCCCCAAACAAGCAACGTCGCATCACTACGACGAGTATCCCAGAAAGCAGTAAGATCATGACACAACTCATCATCATCAAGAGAATCCCGAGCCAGAATTAGGTTGTCCCTCATTCGCGGGAAAGGGAAAGCATCAAGCCATGGATGATGCGGGACTTGCTGTTGCAGAGATGTTGCTCGTAGACTGAGAGGAACAGCATGATGGGACAAAACCGGACCTGCGCAACTGAGGATCGAGACTGCATCATCGCGGCACATCCACTCTGCACTCATGCCTAAAGCAAGGACATTATCATAGGCTGCACGCAGGATATTCATTCTGCTTAGATTGATAAGCTGATCCGCTTTCGGTGAGCTTTCTGTGAAATCCTTCATGGCCCTCCCTTCAAACTCATGCATAAGCTCATGTACAGTTGGAGGTGCGAATGTGCATTGGGCATGTTGCTCTGCAGATAAGTTGCATGCGATGACGGCGAGATGTGCGGATGCGTCAGCGTGACCCTGGCTAGTGTCGATATCCCTGATCTCATTGCCCCCAGTGATTCTACTTTGATGTAATCTTTCGGCTTTTTCTTTTGCCTCCTGGCGCAAACCTGTGTTCCAGAGCATTAGCGAAAAGGTGCGTACTAAGATCAAAAGACCTATCACATACGATATGCTCTTTGGTTCAGGCGATTTTGCACTCTCCGCCGTGTAGCTGAATTGGAGACGCCGGACCAATCGTCAATTGGGGAAAGAGCTTCTGATTGCGGTAGTCTCCGCTGCGACTTGGGTGGCGCAAGTGGTGTCCGAGACATGAAGAGCGTTAGGTCCTCAGCCGTGTGATGTCTCAGAATTCACGATGTGCACGTTGACGATTCAAAGATTGACAAGACGTGTAAGCGCTGAAGTGCAAGGTGCTGACCGACCAAGCAGCATTGGTCAGTAATTGCTAAATAGCGGTCCCAACCTTGAGGTGAGGCGATTTGCCCCACACTTTAAGTTGCTTACGCCCCACTCAACTCTATTTAAGCCAGCCAATGGGGCAATTCTAACCCCGGAGTATCAGAGTCTAATGTCCGTAAATTCCGTGGTGTAGAGACATATGTCCGTATGTCCGAACGCCTGTAGCAAGAGAACCAGTAGCTTTGCCGCTCCATAGACTGTCCAATCTAAGTTGGACGTCACTTTCGACGTGCAAGTCCCGAAGCAGCGAAGTAGAGACAAACGGACTGTCCTGGCGTATCTTGGGGCTAAAGTCAGGCTTATAAATTGACAAAAAAAAAGCGCATCCAAAGCCCTGCTGAAATCCAGGGCACCGCGAATCTTTTCATCTCGTTGGGCTGTATGATTCCATTTAAAGGGGAACAAATATCTGGAGTAGAAGTTCCCTGTGCTCCCGTCATCCAACCCATGTTGGACAGGAAAGAAATTGACGAGGATCGAGACTTGAGGGTAGCAAATCCGTTGAAGTCCTCTAGCCGAGTGTTTAGGGGTAGTGTTTAGAGATAGTGTCATAATACTTCAACAGGGACTATCAATTTGCGCAACAAGTCTGAATGGAACAGGTTGCCTTCCTCTCTTAACCACTATTAGGTAAAAGGTAGCCAAAAGTGCCTAGTGTTATTACGATGAAACTTTTTGGAAAATTCAGACATTGAAGATTTGATTTAGGATTCTGACATTTTGTCAAAGAACTAACTAATGTTTGTAAGACTGGAACAAGAAAAAGACAGCATAAGAATAAAGACCAAAAGCCGTTTTATACATCAGGTAAATTAAACGCCTAGTGCTTAACATGAAAGCAAAAATCCACACAACAAAATTGGACCAAACACCAGCAGAGAAAGAAAACTGTACAAAAGCGTAACTCAATGGCATTGTATTCTATGTCGGAAAAACAGCATATTCCGATAGATCGGCAGAAAAGCCAGGGTGATGACTCTCAAGATTGACAGTTTGTCTAGTGGCAAATCATAGGCAGAGAAATCGCGTGAGGATTTAGATCCTCAAATATGTTCGTGAAAATCCAAATCCCATATTTCCCATTGGAAATCCAAATGTCCCAAGTATCGTGTTTCGTTTCCATCCATTCCGTGAATTGTGAGCTTTGTCGTGAGCTCATAGGTATTATTCATTTCCCATTTGTGTCGTCCCGCTATAAGGGGGGTATGTCGCAGGTGAAGAAGTAGGAGTAAGTTATAAAAAGCAAAAACAAAAAGGAAGTCGTGCTGCTTGACAATTCGGGTCGATCAATCCGATCATTCATCGTCGGTCAGTTTCCGGATCAGGCTGATGCTCAGTATCATGACCAGGAGGCCAACTGTCACTATTACTAGTAAGACAAAGCCGAACCAACCTAACACCATGGCAGAAGATCCGACGCCACTCTTGACACTGCCGTTCCCCATGTCTTGGGCGATGGTACTTGCTGCGACAGACGCTGTGTGCTGCCATAGTACAGAGACGAGAACAAACACAGAGGAGACAAAGATCAGTGCTAGCGCAGCCTGAGACACGGGTCGCGAAGGGAAAGGCTTGACTTCACGCTCCGATCCAGAGTCATCAATCTCCTCGTGCCAGCCGGGGAAGGTAGCGAGAAGGATGAAGCAGAAGAAGGCAAGAATGACCGCGACAATGCTGTGTGATGATTAGCAAATGTCAATAATTTGGAATTTGATCGACTCACAGGAGGTATGGGAACACAACAGCATCCTTGAATGTAGATGCAACCCAGATCAAGTTAAGTGGGTCTTGGTCCACAGTGACAATCTCGGCCAGGGCTGTCGCATTGGCATTGCAGATGAATGAGCCTCCATCGGGCTGGACACAGATACCAAAGTACCCAACTCGAACTTCCAATTCCGCACCGCCAACAATGTTCGAGATGGCGGTTGCAACGTCTGGCTGCACTTGTGCGAGATCTCTGATAGGATTGTACTTTTCATAGTATAGCGAGATTAGGAAGATGTTGGGGATCTGTGGAGATGATGAAGAGCATCCAGCCAACAGCAGTGCTAGAAGATGTTAGTAATATTCCTAAGAAGTATAGCAAAGAATGTTTGGCAGGAACACTCACATAATAGGATGATTGCGACTGCGATAATGATCATAAGAACATGGTGGTACCCGATCATAGGGATGAAACCTGTGCCATAATTAGTTATAATGCCTTTGTGCTTTAGAATAAACAAAAGATTGTCACATACGGGCCCATTTTTGAGCGAAGGGGGTTGCCATTGTGCCCAACGATTATCAACACCAGGTTGACTGTTCACTTGTCTTGACTCACTTCTCGGATCCCCGAGAAGGAGTGTCTGGAACCGAATGCGATTTCAGAACCCAACCTTTTGCCTGATAGACCACTTGTTGAGTTGTGTGATGGGCGTCGATGACAATTCCTTCGGTTATCAAGATCGTTGGAATGTGGAGGAAGAATGCGGGAGGATAGAATAGATATCGGATCGTTCAGGTTGTGTTCAAGGTTAGAACACACAGGAGAATGCTCAAACGTGTCGATTCTCTGTGGTATCCGGTTCGCACCTGTGGATTTTTGAGATGGGTCAGAGATCTGTCTAGACGCCTGTACGATATACAGCGAAACAGGTGGAAAGTGTATGAAAGAGAGGAATGTGTAGAAGGAATGGAAGGGATAGGAAAAGAAGGGACCGTAGCTGGCACAAAATTCCACGTCACACTAAGAGTCTCTCAAGAATCTGGAGGCTGGGGATGAGGCAAGTGTATAGGAATATGGGAGGCTGGGCCAACCACCTTTGTTTACTCACCCGCTTCCCCAGCAACCTGGGACGACCGCCTTCCGCTCTCGGTAATTCTGCCCTCAGACACGGGCGAGAGGGTCTGTGCTAGGCCCGATCTTGACTAGCGCAGATCCCGATAAAGTTGGGCCCACCTGAAGGCGCCACGCGATTCACCCAACCTCGTAGATATTCAATGTTGGGCTTACAATCTGATTACTCTTGTGTCAGGCTTCCAATATGCTGATATTTCAAAGCACTATCCAATGCTGTAACAATATACCTAACAATATCAACACAGTTGCGCCAAATAGAACCGTAAAAAAAAGGCCAGTGGCCCAATGCACCCAACATGTTATCCCAATGCTCCCTAACCAATAGTGTAGATGCAGATGCCTAATTTGCTGTAAAAGAAAAGCGCTTGAGATCCAAAGGAGTGGCAGAGAGCCCAATGCTGGACTCTTCCTCATCATCCTCGCTGTCAGGGACGATCTGATCCTCGCTGCCTTGGGTACTGATGGTTCCCGTAAAAGAGGACTCTTTCGAGACTGGGGAAGATTGTTCGGCCCAAGTCCCCGCAGCGGCAGCATCCCGAAGTTTGGTAGGGAGGTTGATGGATTTAGAACGAGCAAGAGCAGCGTGTCCCATGCGCTGGAGAGGTGTCAGGCGCCGTTGAGCCGTATTTCCGCGTGAAATGCTGCCTATCTTAGGCGCCGACGGTGATGCGGGCTGGTGAGACTGGATCACGGGGATCTTCGTCATAGGGGAGCGAGGTGTGGCAGCCTCCAGCGTTGGTCCAGACTTAAATGTGAACTTAGACAGAAGAGTCGAGTTCTGTCGGTCAACGTGATACTCAAGAGCCTCATTGAAACTTGGAGAGTTGGTGGAGTCATCTCCAAGTGAATGGTGGGGTTTCTCCATATCTGTGTTTGTCGATGCCCCACTGTCTGTAGATTGGGAGGTAGGGGTTTTGGCTTCACTCTGCTGGGCAGGGGTTTCGGTATTGCTCTCAGGTTTGGAGCCACCCAGCCCGAGAGTGGCACTCGGGTCTGGAATGCTGGACATAATATCTTCTGCGATATCGTCAGAGAAGACATCCATCACGGATTTCCGTGGCTTTTTAGATCTAAAGAGCTTTTGTCCAGTGGGGCTAGTTTGTTCAGTGCTGGGGGCAAAAAACCGGCTGCGCGCGGTGGGACATGCGGGCAAGGAGTCTCCTTCAGTCTCGGAGCACAGTCTTTGTCTCTTGGTCGGTTGCAAAGTCGACGAGCTTGCGCTTTGCGCGAGGAAAGAGGACCGCTCGACACTCCGGATCATAGGGCTAAGACCTTGATCGGAGAATGCCCGGAGAGGGGTGGACCTAACAGAGTTTGAACGGAGGGGCGCCGGGTTGACCTGCCAGGAATTGTTAGAATTGCGGTCCAACAGTCGCTGCTGGCTGGGCGAAGGAGTCAAGCTGTTGGGATCCAGTTCGGCCAAAGGGGTCCGCTTCGGGGTAAAGAACGAATTGATAGGCTTTCTCGGCTTCAATTCGGAGGAAGTCCCCAATGTCTGGCGACGATTGATGCCAAGAGACCCTTTATTGGTAGACAGTGGCTTTATGCAAATGTGCTCCTTGGTAGTCGGATCCAAGTCACCCCGAGAGACACCTATAGCAATTTCGGGTTCCATATCTCCACCAATGTATGGCAGCTCATCCAAATTGATACCCTCTTCTGGCGGCGACAAAGTAACCAGCTTTTCAGCCTTGTGGCAGAAGACCCGCTGGTAAAGGAAAGTTAGCTCGGCCTGATTGAAGTTGGCCTGGTAGTCGGCCGGGACTCGGAATTGGCCCTCGAACTGGAGCATGCGTAGAGCTTTTTCAACAGTCTTGTGCTTGCGAATGACTCGGTACGCAGTCTTCAGTCCCATCTTCGGAATATTTGCCAAGTAATCACAACCACTCAAAATGCACATGCGTCTGAAATCTGCATCACTCCAGCCAACCAGGCTAACCTCACGACAAGCAGTGAAGTCAGCCCGGTTTATCTCAATGCATTCTCCATGCTGGTCCAGTTTGGAAA